CTCCCCTCTCCCCCCCTCTCCTCTCCTCTCCTCTTTTCTGCTCTTCTCTTCTCTTCTCCTCTCCTCTCCTCTCCTCTCCTCTTCTCTTTTCTCATCTCCTCTCTTCTCTCTCTTCCCTTCTCTTCTCTTCTCTTCTCTTCACTCCTCTCCTCTTTCCTCTTCTCCCCTCTTCCCCCTTTCCTCTCCTCTCCTCTTCTCCTCTTCTCTTCTCCTCTTCTCCTCCTCTTCTCCTCTCCTCTCCTCTCCTCTTCTCTCCCTAACCCCTGTCCGGGGTTCATGCCCGGCCTGGCACCCGAGCGTGTGTCCGGGCAAAGGTCGGGTGCCCAGGGCCCTGGACAAACAGACTAGGTATGCACATAATTTGCCTGGGTATATGCATAATTTGAGCGTTCCGGTAGTTGGGTATAAATGCAATTTGGCAGTACCAGCTTGGCCCACCTCAGTCCTGGGCAATGCCAATAATTTGGACAGGCCATTTCCCGGGTATAGATGCCCTGGGACTGGGTATAGAGGGTATTCCCATCTTTGAATGGGGTACAAACACAATCTTCCCTTTCTTTTTTACTTCTTTTCAAACCACCAGTTCATTGACGGCTGAGTTGAAGAACTTACTTTCCAAGGCTCACGAGCCTGCAACTGAGCCTTTTCAAAGTCACCTGCCGGTTTTGCTACCGGCCCAGGCCCACATCTGAATGCTCTTACCCCACCTCAGTCCTGGGCATGCCAATAATTTGCACAGGCCATTTCCTGGGTATAGATGCCCTGGGACTGGGTATAGAGGGTATTCCCATCTTTGAATGGGGTACAGAAGCAATCTTCCCTTTCTTTTTGATTTCTGGCACTGATCTCTTCCTCATTTTGTGATTCTGTATGCGTTGGTAGCAGCCATATCAGAATCCGCAACAGGGTCATCACACCCAATCGAGCCCACTCTTACTCATTGACAAGATCCTCCTGTAGCCAAGGAGCAGTGGGAGACTGCTAAGACACACACTGACACTATACGGATGGAAGCATAGGGGTCTGAAAAAATAATGGCAGGCCAAACTTGCTTCGCCTTTGCTCATTTCCACAAAGGTTTTGCATCTCAAATACATTGCTTCCTCTCTCCCCTCCCCCCCAGGCACTGATGAGATGGCACTGTATGCGTTGGTAGCAGCCATATCAGAATCCTCAACAGGGTCATCACGCCCAATCGAGCCCACTCACACTCATTGACAAGATCCTCCTGTAGCCAAGGAGCAGTGGGAGGCTACTAAGACACACACTGACACTATACGGATGGAAGCATAGGGGACTGACAAAATAATGGCAGGTCAAACTTGCTTTGCCTTTGCTCATTTCGACAAAGGTTTTGCATCTCAAATACATTGCTTCCTCTCTCCCCTCCCCCCCTCTCTCCTTCTCTGGTCTCTGCTGCTTTCAGCTCCCGTCTGTTTGTCTCCTCTCCCCTCCTCCCCCCCCCCCCCCCCCCCCCCCCCCCCCCCCCCCCCCCCCCCCCCCCCCCCTCCCTCCCTCCCTACCGCCCTCTCTCTCTCTCTCTCTCTCTCTCTCTGTGTGTGTGTGTGTGACAGCAGATACAAGGCGACAGTGTACGTACCATTCTACCATTGTCAAGATCGGCAGCGCCTGTCCTTTGCCATAGTCGTCTCGATGACTGAATTGTTGTTGAAAGTGACTTGATCCGATTCCCTGCCTGTTATTCTGCTCGTCCTCAATTTTGTTGTTGGATGCGGTCTGGCTCCTTTTGCCTTTGCTCATCTTATCCTCCTTCAGATGTCACTGGTCCCCCTTCTCCTCCATGTGGCCAGATACCTTGATTATTTTAGGGACCACTGGTCTTGAATCTGAAGCTTCACCTTCACTTGCCAGAGAAAGACGGTCCACCTCAGCTTCAACTAACCGGTCCCATGATGAGCTTGCCCCAGGAGGACCAGCATCTCGAGTTCCCGAGTCCCCTTCTCGTGCTTTCATCTCCTTCCCAGGCGAGACGGATAGCGGCTCCCACGATGTACCACGAGTTCCGGAAGGACTGACACCTGTCGTTTTCCTTTCTCTTACTGTTGTTCCTTGGCCAGCTGTGACTCCAACTGAATCGAACCTCCCAATAAGATCGACAGCAGACACACTCATATTCTCATCAGGATAGACTTTGTTCATGACTGCATTCTCATCAGGATAGGCTTTGTTCATGACTGCAGGGTTTACGAGGTTGCCTTCAATGGGCGAAGGTCTGGGAGGAGGAGGATATGAAGATGGAGATGATCCGGTGTGTCTACCAAAGGGGTGCTGGAATGAGTGCGCATCTTTCATACACGGAGATGGCTTGAGGAAAGGACCATCTTTGTCGCCAGTTGTTGTGATATTGGCCCTCCTGTCGTCCCTGTTTCCATGGCGTTGCTCTGCATCTGTGGAGGTCTTGCTCCGTGAATTGAGTATGACTGCCTGAGAGACTCCTGCCTTTACATCTTTCAAGAGTCCTTTCATCATGGATTTCATCTTCCCCTTCCTGTAACCTGACTTCTTCCCCTTCGCAGCATCACTCCTCGTGTCATCGTGATCGGTGACACCTGCCTGTACCTCTGATTTCACAGAGTCCCAGTTTTCACTGTCTCGCTCGAGCACTCCCATACTTATGAAGCTATCTTCATTGAAGGCGTCGTCTGTGCCCTCTCTGCTATCGGAGGAATCGCGCATGTGTTCGATATTGGGTCCCATGTATGTGACAGGGCTTTTTCTATCCCATTCCTTTTTTCCTCCCTTACCTGTCAGTTTGTTAAACACCCCTTTCAATTTGGTCTTCAACTTGTCTCTATGCAGGCCATGCTTCTGGTCTTCTTCCTCTAGCGACTCAGCCAGTGCCAATTCATCAGAGCGTTCCTCAGTTTCTATAGCCTTGGCTTCTTTGCCCTCTTTATCTCTGCCTTGCCACACTCTTGCTTCGTACTCCCTCGCTGGGGGTGCTCGACCAGGATGCTCTACTCGAACTAAATTCTGGTCACCAATGCCGATATCGATACCCTCCCACAAACTTCCTACTGCGTCCCCTTCCACCTTCTCCTGTTTGCATCCTTTATCGTTGTCCCAGCTGCTTTCCCTTTCCTTGACATAAGTCCCACTTTCTTCCATTGCCTCGTCCGATGATTCTTCCGACTCTTCCGAAGGCGGCCTCTCCGGTTTACCAAGATGATCTTGGATCGTAATCGCAACCAGCAGCCGACCTCTGTTCACGTTTTTCAGCGTAAGCCACATGTCGTGCCGCAATCCATCCCGTAGTTCAGACAGGTCAACAGCCGCATAACTTCTCACCATCAACGACCAACAAATGCAATGTTCAGAATCTTCAGATGGTTAACAATGACATAAAAATTAACAAAGGCACAGTTTGATCTAGTTAGCAATCACATAAAAAGGAGTTCAGATAGGTCAACAGTCCCAATACTGCTCACCATCAATAATAAAAAAAGATATATTAGTTCACATAGGTCAACAATCACATAAAGAGGTGGAGCTCGGATGGGTGAACACACTCACATAACTGCTCAATGCCAATGATAAACAAAATCACAGCCAGATAGGCCAACAACCACATAAGCACTCACCATAAATGATCAGCGCAGCTCCGCTTGTGTGAGAGAGAAAGTATGGGAAAACCGTACGCTGAAGAGAATAATAACAGGAGTTTGAGAGGGTGCAGGGGGACATGTCTTGCATCGGATACAGAGAGGAAGAGAGAGAAAGAAAGGCAGACCGAATGGGAGAGAATTGGCAGGAGAGCAAGCTGGACAGGAAGATCTGGAAAATAATGTGTGTGTGTGTGTGTGTGTGTGTGTGTGTGTGTGTTTTAGATTTTCCCCACAACAGCCCCAATTCCACCCAGGTGAATAGATTCAGAACCAAAGCAGTCTTTATCCTATTGCAGACAACGAGAGCATTTGAGATGTCCAACATATTAAAGCAATTTTATAATTAGACAGTTTTTTGGTTGTTCTTGGGGTACCCCTTTCATTGTTCTTGCAGCTCCCCTTTTACTGTGCCTCTTACGCGCAAGGCTGCCCACGTTGATTGTGGTTGAGCGGCAGCTGCCCACATCCCCATGTGCCTCCACGGCCTACTTGCACGTGATTTCTGGGCAGAGTAAAAGGGAAGGTATGCTCCTGTGCATCTCTTCAGAGTTCATACTCCTGTCCATTTCATTTCAGATCTTCAGCTTATACAGCCTTTGTGTCCGTCCTTCATCTTCATACTTCCGTTCATTTCATTTCTGATCTTTATATCGTCTATACTCTTAATGATGCTCATTCGTATGTACTTGTTAGTAGTACAAAGGGAGTGGAGGGGAGGGTGGAGGGTAAGGGATAGAAGGCGGAGTTCTCCAGGAGTATGAGGCAGGGGAGGTAGGGGCAACGGGAAGGAAAGAAATATGTGGAGGGCAGGATAGAGTGACATGCAAGAGCAGGGGAAAGCTGTATGACGGGTCTCACAGATTTCTAAATATTCACCGCTGTGAGTGGCCACCCCTACAGACCGGACAGGACCGGTTCGGGTGTGGGCTATGGAAGCACCGCATCCAATTTTCGCAGTCACAGTTGCTGCATCGAATGGCACGGCGCAGACAAATGTCACAGGCTGCGTGGCTCGTACATGCTAGGAACACAGAGGCACGTTGACCGCAATTATAGAGGCATTGCCGTTCCAGCCCGTCTACAAATTGGACATGACATGTCGGGGTGCTGTACATGAGTACAACTGACTGTCATCGTATGTATGTGTGTGTGTGTGTGTGTGTGTGTGTGTGTGTGTGTGTGTGTGTGTGTTACAAATTATCACCACAACTTCCTCTATTCCGCCCAGATGAGTAGATCCAAAGTCGTAGCAACTTTACCTATATTGCAGACAATGAAGC